ATGCCAGGAGGCCTGCATGGATGAACAAGGATCTCCTGGATGAACTTAGATTCAATAAGAGAGTCTACAGAGAGTGGAAGCAAAGACAGGTAGCCTAGGAGGAATACAGGGAAGTTGTCTGATCAGCCAGGCATCAGGTTAGTAAAGCTAAAGCCCAGATAGAATTAAATCTGGCCATGAACATCAAAGGTAAGAAGATAAACTTCTACAGGTATGTCAGTTATAAAAGGAAGACTAGGGAAGATGTGGCCCTCTCCAGAAGGAAAGAGGAGAGCTGGTCACAAGGGATATGGAGAAGTCTGAGATGCTCAACGACTTCTCTACCTCTGTCTTCACCAGCAAGGGCTCTATCCACACTGCCCAAGCTGCGGAAGAGAAGCTTGGAGAGACCGGGAGAAGGAAGATCCATCCACTGTAATTGAAAATCAGGGTTGAGACCATCTAAAGAACTTGAACAGTCCATAGGACCTGACTAGACTAGATTGATTCACAGGTTCCAAGGGAACTGGTGGATGAAGTTTCCAATCCTATTTCCATCAAATTCAAAAAGTCATGGCAGTCTGGTGAAGTTCCCACTTACTGGAAAAAGGGAAACACCACCCCTATTTTCAAAGAGAGGGAAAAGGAAGACCTGAGAAGCTACAGGCTAATCAGTCTCATCTCTGTGGCTGGCAACATCATGGAGCATATCCTCCTGAAGGCTCTGCTAAGGCACATGAAAAATAAGGAGGTGATGGGTGGCAACCAACATGGCTTCACCAAGGGCAAGTCATGCATGATAAATATGGTGGTCTTTTATTATGGAGTTACAGCATTAGTGGATAAGGGAAGAAAAACTGGTGTTATCTACCTGGACTTGTGCTAAGCATTCAACACTGTTTTTCATAACATACTGGTTTCTAAACTGTAGAGAACTGGATTTGACAGATGGGCCACTTGGTGTATAAGGAATTGGCTGGATGGTCACATTCAAAGAACTTTGGTGAATGGGTCAATGTCCAAGTGGAGATCAATGACAACTGGTGTTCCTCAGGGATCAGTACTAGGACCAGTGCTGTTTAACAACTTTCTTGGTGACATGGTGTTATGGTTTGGGGCCAGGACCACCCCAAGACTGGTAACAAATGCTCTCTGTTAATCCCCCTTGCCTCTGCCC